ACATTTCCCTTTTCTCATCTAACATCCCCTGCATTCACTCAGCCCAGGGTTCTCCAGAGAGATTTTGCTCTTACACTAGCTGCTCGTTTACCTAGCCAATCTAAATTCCTTGCCTACTCCTACAGAATGTGAATGCCACCAAGGAATTTTTAAAAATTACAGTCATGCAGGTTTTCCTCTTTGGTGGGTAGAATGGAATGTTTCATTTCATTCTGATGATGTTCTGGGTGTGCACAAGTTCTTAGATGAAAATGGCTCCCAAAGGACAGTTGAATTGCAGGGATGAGTTTTGAGTTTAGCTATGCAAGCAGTGAGATCATCGTTTATTCTTACTTATTGGGAGATCCAGCTCCATAGCTCAGGTCCCGTGACAATTCCTGCAGTCATCTTTAGTTACTCCCATTGATCACACGTAATTTTTGTGTTAGCAGAAAGTAGTGGTCACTGATCACTGAAAGGCTCTGCTCACTTCTGTCATTAGCCAGCTGCTTAGTACTGACAGCAGGAGAAAAATCACCCTGTGAGTGGTTATATGCAGGGGACCCATTTGTTTCTCAGTCTTGACTGTACCTGTAGCTTCCCTCATTCAGATGAGAAGCCAGTTAAGTGTCCTTAAAGCGTTAATGTGTGGCTGGGTAATGGGAGAAGGCCCTAGCTTGTGAGCAGAGTGTCAGAAATGAAAAGAGCAGATGACAGTTTGCTTTCCTGCACAACCTTGACATAAGGCTGTTCTTTGAGCTTCTAACTGTACTTCAGAGGGGAATGTTTTTTGGAGACTGTGCTGTTAATGTAAGTTATTTCTGTTGTTGTTGATGCAGCCATAATTGCAACAGCTGAAACAGTACTTCAAATAATTAATTAACAGGGAAAATTCTCCCCTGTTGAGCTGCTGTCAAGCTCTGTGTGCATTTAGTGCAGTTGTACAAGGGCAGCTGAGAGACTTTGAAGCTGATAAAGCTGGCAACCATTTACTGTTCTTACGTAGTCAAAACATCGGTGCACTCCAGTGGTCGGAGCACAAGAAGATCAGTTACAAGATATGTCAGGTGTTCAGTTCTCAGTGCCTTGACGGATAGAATATGTGTATTGAAACTGATATGATAGAAATAGAAAATGATAAAAATGTTCAATCCTCAGTGCTGAGGATTGAAGGTTATAAAACTTGCAAAAAAATATGGAGCACTAACTCTCCTATTCTCTAATTTATTCATCCTGCATTTAAAACCCAAACATTTGAATCTTAATATTCCTAAGAAATAATTTGTTAAGAGAAATACGATTGCAGGTAACACTTACCTGTTAGTCCTCAAGGTTCCCCTCTGTGCTGGAATCCCACATTCCTGGTTAGAACATTTTGAATGAAGTGAAGCAAGTACAGAGTTTTATTGGGTTTCAGGTAATTTGACTCATGCTTGATCCTATGGATTAGGTTTTATTTGCTTCACATTCTTCTATTATTATATCTGGATCTCAGCATTTCTGAAATCAGGAAATGTCACTACTGTTTCATAGATGAGGTACAGAATTTTTAAGAATCTCAACCCCTATTACAAGTCAGTCAGTGGCAAAGACAGAATATGAAATTCAGAGCCCTAAATCCAAGGTCCATCTGTCATAATCTGATCATAAAGGTGTCTACCATGTTAAACCTGCATATCTGTTCAAGTGTCTATTCCAGAAGATTGCATATTCTTTTTATGGGTTGTGATAAAATGTGGGCCTGCAAATATTTTTTGTTATTCTTGTGGTCATATAAAAACTGTTTTCATTCTGATTGTCATTTATTTCCTCTCAAGTTCAGAAGGGCAACCCTGACTGTCAGTTCCTTGCTCACTCTACCTAGTCCAGGCTCAGTCAGCTGCACAGAGCAATGGTTTATTTTGGAACAAGGCTGCAGGGTGGCATGTAGTGGCCGTGCTAACTCTGATGCTTCTCACGGCGCAGGCAGAAGACTGGATCAGTGAGCGCATGCAGAAGCTAGAAGATCCTTCCATACAAGACCCCAGCAACCTGCACGACAAAATGAAGCTGCTGCAGAAGCATCAGGTCTTTGAGGCCGAGATTTTAGCAAATGAAGAAATCATCACAGCTGTTAGTAAGGTAATGCTCACAGTCTGCCACTGTTTTTGGAGTTTACTGAAAGATTCTGTCCAAAGAAGGACGGGTAGAAGGAGTAGGTATTTTGTTCACTAGCTCTTAATCAGTTTTTCTACCTGTGCGACAAGAACACAATTGCAATGCCACGGAGTTAATTTACAGCAGGGAGATTTTTTTTAATTCCTGTATACAGGAAACTTCCATCTTTCCTTATTATCCAAATAGACAGATGCCATGGACTTCTTTGTATGGGGTGATTGCTGCTACAGGATGTAAGTGGGATTTCGGGCCCAATTTCTGAATGTTTTATTTGAAACTGGTTTCAGTTTCAAGGGGTGAATCACTTACCTGAAGGGCACAGTCATCTGTAATACCTCTGCTGGAGTTTCCATGCCATGAATGTCATCCTGTCAGGGGAAAGATCAAATTTACTGTTCTTTATTCCCTCCATAAGTAAAGACTTTCCAGCCGAATGCCGTTGGTGGGGAGGTGAGGATTTACATTAGTGATTTATTATGCAGGACAGGTTAAGAAAGTGAGAGACTCCTGCTAAAAAGGTAATGTAGCATAGTAATTGCATTACAAATGAGTAACAACCTTCATTTCTAATTCTGTCTTCTGAACATTAAGAAAGGAGAAGCCCTTGTGTCAAAAGGCCACCCAAAATCAACAGAGATCCGTCGTCAAGTCCGCACACTTCATGAGCATTGGGAGAAGTTGAAGAGAGCTGTTGCTGCCCGGGGAAAGATGCTGGAGGATAGCCGGGATTTCCTTGAATTTCTCCAGAAGGTGGACCAGGTGGAAGCCTGGATTAGGGAGAAGGTGAGTGAATTCCTGTATTTAACCAAAGCTGCACACTGGAGACCTGCTATTTAATAGTGACATTTTGGTGTCACCTTCTGGAGTATTAGTGTCTTTTGCATGGGAGATTCAGGAAGTGTTCTACAAGCAATATTGAAGAACAGGTTCAACAAAATCTAAAAATGTTCTGGCCTGTTTTTGTTCCAGAGATGGTCGGACAGTATTAACACATCTTGTCATTCAAAAAACACATAAAGAGACTGTGATTATTGGCAGTGTTATCATGTATATTTCTCCTGAAATATAGAAATGAAGACTTCAAACATTGGAAAACTAACATTTCCCCTCATTTTGTATCAAATCTCAAAGCTTCTCTTTCTAATAGTGAAAAAAATAGTCACTTTATCCACCAAGTTTTCATGTAGTGGCAAGTTTGGCGATCAGTTTTGTATTAGGAGAGCTGGGAGTATGGCTCATAGTTATTTAAAGATCAGAAGAGGCTCTGCCAGAAGCTATAAGGTAGTAGTTTGTAGAGGCAGAACCTCACAGAGCTGGTGGGTCATGGTGAGCTGAGGGGAGTCTCTTTTGCCGGATCACCATAAGCACTGGGGAACGTTGTGTGCTAACCTAAATATTTGCCTGTTGGATGCCTCTTTCCCCAGGAAGTTATGATTAACATAGGTGACGTGGGAAATGACTATGAACACTGCCTGCAGCTGATGAAAAAGCTGAATGAGTTCCGTGGAGCAGCATCAGGGGTAAGAGATGTTTTCCATGCCTGTCTCTACACTCCTGGTGTGACTAGTTACATGGAGCAGCAGTTACCTTTTCAGCCCAGCGGCGTATCTACATAGCAAGGACTGTTCAGTATCCTGAGGCAAGGAAAGATCAGGGGGTTCAAAGCATTACCATTTTGTAAGCTATTAAAATAGTCGTTGTATCATTGTGCTATCATTGTGTCTTCTGCTTTGCTGGTATCTGAGCAGAGCTGTCACATGCTTCTGAGGGGATCTGAAACTTCAGATTGCACAACATGGCTGAAGAGCTGCGTGCATATGCCTGAAGTAACTTAAAGGGCAAACTTACAATTTGGGTTGTGAAGTCTTCAAGCCACAGTGATTTCCACCCAAAAGTGGATTAAAATGTTTATTTCAGCTGGATTTCTTTGAATCTACAAGTTGATACTGACTGGTGATGGACAAACTCTTCAAAAAAAAGTTGACCTCTCTATCCATTTCCCTCCTATATTTCTCCCTTCCCTTGTCATGACAGACAAGTTTCTCATATCCGTCATGCACATGAATGAGTAAATGCAATGAATAAATCTTGTAGGGTCTTTGTTGATACAGCACATGTGGTAAGTCATGAATCATAATATTAATAATCTGGCATTTAGTAAAATGTAGCAATGGTTTACACTTCAGATAGCAGCAACGTGACAGGACAGCTGCACAGTTTGTATTTCTGTGCTGGATCTGAGTCTCCTTTGTGGTGATGAGTTGCACCAGCTGCCTCTCTTGCCCATAGTGGGATGTGCTGTCCTGGACACCAAACCCTAGGAGCAGGCCCTGCCATGACAGGGCTGGTGACATTCTTCAGCTCCTGCCACTGAGCGCTGTAAGACCATCTGTGGAGGGGGTGCCTTTGCAGCAGTTTTGTCTCCTCTCCTTTTGTATGGACTGATACAGATGTGGACAAAAAGGTCCCAGTGTCACGAAGGAGAAGACTGCTGTGCTGATTTACTGGCCTGGAAATGGTGATGAAGGTCTGGGAATGGGTGTATTAGGGCTTACTGAGTGAGGTTTACCCTAGTGGTATCTTCTAATATTCTCTGTATTCTTTGTTCTCTCTTGTTGCCAGTTCCTGTTACGGCAGCTCCTATCTTTTATTTTTCTTGCCCAGTGGCAGCAGAAGGCAATCCTCTTCTATGCAGAATAATAGCATAGAGACTCCTGGCGCTAGGGAAAATACCCTGGGCTTCCTTTTCCAGAGCCCCCCAGGATTTTCTGTGGCAGTGCATTAGCACTGAATCAGAACCAAGAGCCAAATTAATCGAACTTCAGTACCAGAGAATCAGTGAGAGACCCTTCAGTCATCAGCTGAGCCATGAGCTAAGGGATAGAGCCAGGGCTCGGCTACAGCTCGTAGCAGTAAAGCAGAGATGGTGAAAGATAAGAGTCCCAGGCAGTGTAAGTCTGCACAAAAGTCTCACCACAGACTAAGGGAGACTTTTGGTGGTGGTGTGTGCCACAGAAAACTCCTGGCCATAGGTGCTAGTCTAGGTTTCTCTAGAAACCTAGAAGTTAGTTTGTCTAATGAGACAAATCTGAGATGAGGACAGGGAACAACCTCTCTGCCTTAATGGCTGCCTGAGTTTCTATTCATAGTCTTTGACCCAGTTCTGCTAGTTCCCAGGGGAGGACACTGCAGGGTCTCTGTAGAAGTAATATCTTACTGTCTGCTGCCTTTTCTTGTTTACTTTACAGCTGTGTATAATAGTCAACTACATATGGAAATGTGCATCTTGGCATGGACATAGCATAAATAAAATACAAATGGAGTCAGTACTGCTATTAACAGTGTACTGGCATCTTGCAGCTGTGCTTTGGCTGCACTAGTGATTGATGTCTCTCTGCTAAGTGTGCAATTTACTGGTTTTATGAAAAGAGAATATTTTTGAATCTTGGAACAGTGTTCAGTGTTGGCTGTCGGTCGTGCTCCAAAAGAACAACCGTTCCACTATAGGCCAAATTATATGTGCTATGTGCAAATATTTTCCCTTCTACAGTACACTGGTACATGAGTAGCAAACTGTCTCAAGGTTTAGCATACCTTTTAAGATACAATGATACTGCTTTAGGAGAATAAATAATGACATATCTTGCAACCAGACTTATGGATTGTCAAGGTCAAGGAGTAGATAGGAAGCTGTAAGGGTCCTTGTCTAGACCTAGATGATCTTTGTATCTATAGCCATTAATATTCTTTCTTATCTCTACCTTATTCTCATCTGGCTGTGGTTAAGAGCATGTTAGCAGAGCAAACATGTCTAAAATTTCTAGCACTGGGGCATCACACTTGCTTTATTGTTGTTTTTAATGTGTCAGCAGAAAGTTCAGCAAGAGTTTTGAACACAAACCTTTGGTACTTTTCTCGCTTTCCAGGAGGTGACAGTGGATGATGCACACATTAAAGCTATCAATGTCCTGGCCATGAAGCTGGAGAGACAGAACAAGGAGGAAACAAAGACAATATATCAGCGCCGGAAGCAGCTCAATGAGAAGTGAGTATGTCTTTAAGCTTCCATGTGAAGCAGAAACAGGAAAGGAAGATCAGGTCTCTGAAGCGGGTGAAGAGGAGGAGCTACAATACATACTTTCTCCTTTAATATTATGGCTGCCAAGTATCAGGTAGTGGAGTTGCCTGAGGAGACCCTTAGCAGTTACCCGGAAGGTTTATCTAATACAGCAGGGCTCGGTCATGTTTCTAGCCTTGGAGGTGAATATGCTGGATTGCTGCACTTTGCAAACTGCATTTCGAGAGCTAAGCCACTTACATCTGTCCATGTAGTCATCCTGATGTAGTTCATCTTACTCCTATTAAATCACAACAGAGTGATTCAAAGATTCAAAGTCTAGACTGAGAATAGATGTATCCAGATGGCTGGGTATTTATTCTGTCAGGCTAATGCTCTCCCTCTGTGTAGTCTCTCTGTTACTGGGTAGGTCAGTGGACAAGGTAGCTCAGAAATCCAGGCTTAGATTTGAGTCATGAAACTCACTTTTGGAAGTCCTCACCTCTAAAATGTCCTTTTCAAAAACAGGTGGAACAGTTTCCATGGGAACTTGAATACATACAGAAAGAAGTTAGAGGGAGCCCTAGAAATTCATGCCCTAATCAGGGAGATTGATGACATCACTGAAAGAATTAGTGAGAAGGTGAGTTCTTACATTTTTATTGATAGACACAAGAAAATGTTCCTCACCATTCAACCAGATTCTATTTTGGCAACAGATGATCAACCCAGGCAGCCTAATTGCTAGAGAGTATCCAGCAGTTCTTTTGATAATTTTCTGTGTACTGATTTTGTAGAATGGCTGAAGTATCATACAAACACTTCACAGATTACCAACTCTAAGTCATTCATAGTTAAAAATGTAAACTTGGAATGTATTTTCATGAGCTATAGATGAGGTCTGCAATAAGTAGGTGCTACTTTTTACTATCTAATGGGAGGTTACAGAGAAGATGAAACCAGGCATTTCTCAGAGGTTCACAGTGAAAGAATAGTTAGTAAACACAGTTTACAACAAAGGAAGTTTCCGTTAGATTTAAAGGGGGAAAAAAAAAAAGTTGAGAGTGATCAGACACTGAAAGACATTACCCAGAGAGACTGTGGAGTGTCCATCCTTTATAATGTTCAGATGTCAATTGAACTGAGCCCTGAGCAGCATATAAGATGCTTCTTCTTTGAGCACAGGCTGGGCTAGATGACTTCCAGACTCATGTAATCCACAGTTCTTCACGGTTTTCCTTGATTTTATGATTCTAATAAATATTCTGTAGTCAAATAAGATTTCCAACTAGCTTTTTACCTTGGTGACTAAATGCTGTATCCAAAATAGTCACCCATGTCCTTCTTTCGAACTGACTGGCGGAAGAAATAGATGCTTGTAGAGCTCAGTCCATCTAACCTGTTTTAGATGTCCTCTTAGAAGTACAATGAATCATGCTCCAACAGTGCCTCCTTCTTTCCTGATGATGATAAAGGGAATTAGGTAACTAACTGGGCACTTTAACTGCGTTAAAGATATCTGCCTGTGGTCTGATAAAACATCATACAGGGAAGAAACACAAGAAGGTGCAGTGATCACGGTACAGCTCTAAGAGGCTAAAAGACTGGGATCTATTTTTACCATCTTCTCTCTTACCCCTTTCAGAGTGCATTAATACAAGCGCTGGATTATGGGAAAGATGTGGAAACTGTGGAAAACCTGATTCGAAGGCATGAAGAGATGGAGAGAGAAATCAGTGTTATAAAGTCCAAAATGGAGGTAAGAAGTGGGACTACACAAAGGATGCTATAGCAATGATTATTTTTGCTTCTTGGAAATATTACACTGTCCTTTATCTCTTGGAAAGTATGGAATCCAAATTTAACTCTTAATCTTTCCCCTATTTTCTGTATTGACGTGAACCGAAATGTTGACTTTAGCTCTGCTAAAGCTGCAGTGATTTTATTTATATAGTCATCAGAACAGAAAATCTTAGGTTATCGTTCCCTGATCAGCTCTTATTCTTGTAAACAATCTTTCCCCTATTTTCTGTGTTGACATGAACCGAAATGTTGACTTCAGCTCTGCTAAAGCTGCAGTGATGTTTTTTTATATAGTCATCAGAACACAAAATCTTAGGGTATCATTCCCTGATCAGCTCTTATTCTTGTAAAACTCTTGTAAACCATGCTCCAATGTGCATGGTTTAATCGGAACATTAAATACGGGTCTGTGTTCCTATGTAATTGTGTTTTTGTTGTTGTTGTGTTTTTTATGCTTTTAGCTGATTCTACTGAAGTGCAGCAGCAGAAATCCATGATACCCTTTCACCATTTTCACTGTTGAACAGATACTAAGGTTTTTCATATGGAATGTATTTTTTTGCAAACTTTAGAGAAAGTTTCTTTTCTTCACAGCAATATGTAGCAGGTGATACCTTCACACCTTATGACTTTACTAGCTAACTCTCATATTTATCATGTGAGAAGTGGGTGATCAAACTCTTTTTGCTGATTCTACTGAAGTGCAGTAGCAGAAATCCATGATATCCTTTTACCATTTTCACTATTGAACAGATATTAAGGTTTTTTGTATGGAATGCATTTTTTTGCAAACTTTACAGAAAGTTTCTTTTCTTCACAGCAATGTGTAGCAGGTGATATATTCACACCTTATGACTTTACTGGCTAACTCTCGTATTTATCATGTGAGAAGTGGGTGATCACCATTCAGCATTCCACAATTAGCAATGAATTAGCAAGTATTAGCAAGGCTACATGGGGGAATGCTGCATAGAAACAGGAAGATGAACCAAGATGGAGATTATTTTTGATATTGCTACAAATAATATCCAAAGTATAATATTCATTATTATGGATCTTTATTAATGGAGTAATGGTAGGGGTCATTATTAATCCATTTTATGGATTAAAACCATCCTGGGACATTCTTCTTTCTGTATAAATTAAATTCTTCATTTTCATCAACTTGATGGAGTTACAGAAGAAAGATAGCAACTATAAAACTGAGATGTCATTAAAAAAAAAGCATCAACTAGAATTGAAAGTTATGTTTACGTAATATTGAAAGTTATGTTTTGGAACTGCTGTTTTATGAAGCAGTAATGAAGGAGTTTCCAGTCTGATGTTGAAAGTCAAGTCTGGTTGCTCCTGTGTACTGCTGTATCTCTAAGTGTATCTCACTACCTATCTTAGTTTAGGCCATTGAAGATGATAATTATCACTTTGTTCTGTACTTGTCCCCACTCTGCAAAATTGTCATCTTAACTGTCGTCTTGCATACTAAGCAACACCCATATCTGTTTGCCCATGTGGGCAATTTCTTGCAAATACCTATGTATCTGGTGTGCATTAAACAAGTCCCTTTTGTATATTATGTTCTTGCAATGTACGTACTCAGTTTTGAAAACTGGGATCTTTAAAGGAACTGCTTGTTCTTGAAGGCAAACTCAGGAATGAATATAACCATTTGGCCTAAAGTCAGTCTACTATAAATCTCTTCCCAGCCCCTGGAACTGGAATCTTTCCGCCTTTCCACAAGGAATCCATCCATAAATGACAGACTGACTATGAAGCAACATGAGATGAAAAACAACTGGCTACGACTCCAGGGGCAAGCCAAACAAAGGTAAAGTGGTCTGAACATCTCTCAACAGGAGCAAAACTGCTCCCTGGGGTCACAAATCTTTCCAAAATTCTTTGAGGATCCTTAACAAAATCTTGCACAGGCAGCTAAGACATCTGCATTGGAACTAGAATAACTTGGTACAAAAAAAATCCACAGACGTGATTTCAGGAAAACGTATCCAATTCCAGTATTATTCCACTAAATAATGTTACGAAAATGCCTCCAGACTATCAGATGAAATCTGTCATGAACCCTATGTGCAAGACTTAGTTTTGTGGTGTTATGGAAGATCCTTCTCTTGGGTTTTTCCGAAACAACAAAGGCTTAGGACTGAGCTGTAATGGTTGCTGCAGGCAACTGCTAGGAAGATTTTTACAGTTCTAGTCTTAATGAACCATAGATAATATAGAGGATAATACAGCATATGTCTTTTGAGACTTTGCTTTCAACGTGGAGACTGTAGGGAGCTGTAAGGGAAAGCTAGCAGGTTCAAATTCACTTATGCCATTCAACTTCTCCTAGGACACTTTTGTTTTTCTGGAGGTGGGGAAGAAAAGAATGCTAGGGAAATTTGTGTTGGCTAATGCTAAACTGCACATTGTGTGGCAGGAAAGAGAAGCTGGCAGCCTCATATCAGTTGCAGAAGTTTAATTCTGAAGTGAAGGAGATGCTAGATTGGATCCAAAACATCAAAGGCTTAATGGAAGCGACAGGGCTTCCTAAAAGCCCGAATGAAGCAGAAAGCATGATCGAGGAACATCAGGGGAGAAAGGCAAGTATCACTGTTACTCCCAGTTGAATATCCTGGTGGTCTTTCCCATGGGAATTATTTTCTGCAGACACAGCAGGACCTTGCTGCATGTACCTGTCAGTAACGTGGTGAACAAACTATTTTCAGTGACATGGTAAGAATAGGAGTCATCTGTGTATTCACAGAAATCTAACCCATGGTCTGCTTGGCAGTTCATGTTTCTGCAGGAAGTCCTAGAAAGCTGCATTACCTGTACTTTTGTACAACTCTGCAGGAAAAAAACGCCTGATCCTGCCTCAAAACACACTTAGTGCTGATCTGTTTGCTTAGATTGCCAAAACGTGTACTAGTCAATGCTAGCTTTGGGCTAGCTTTTGCCATTTGTCTCCCTCCACCTGGGAGGAAAATAAAACCAGCAATTTTTTCACACAGGGCTTTAAATTGCTGTTGCATTTGTTGGTATGATACATTTACTGCTGAAACACTTCGTATCCCAGTACCACACATTCTTTTCACAGCTAATATTTTTTGTGAATTTTCTAAATTGTCCCATTACTAGAATAAATAACTTGTTATGATTCTGTTTCAATTCTGAACTTAATACTCCACAGTTGGTGTCCCCTACTCTTTGAAGCTTCTATTTTAACAGTACATTTTCATGTCACCCACTTACTTAACTGTGCTAATAGTTCTTTGGTACAATAGAAATACCCCAACCCACTGCTTTATTCCAGTTCTGAAAGCAGCAAGATCTGGGCCTTCAGTATCTATTAGTAAAAGAAGCCAAGCAGATCCAAGACAGTCTTACAGAGAAGGCAGAATCCAAGAAATGTGTTCTTCTACAGTATGTTCACTAAGATAAAATTACAGATAAGACAAAACGGATTATTTTTTCATTCAGGCTAGTGATGCAAACCAAAGTCCTTTGGAGAGCCTAAAATTAAACATAAGGAGCTGATCTGAATTAAAAACAAAGCGGCTCTCTTCTTATAGATATGTGAGCTAAGATTGGCCAACCCAAATAAAGAATAAACCCTAAAAACAAAAATCCTAATTTGAAACATTTAGTAGCCCATGCCATAGTTTAGAGATGCTTTGCAAGTTGGTGCACGTTGTTATTTCAGCGCAGAGTTATTTTCAGCTGGTTTTCATTGGAAATTCTAAATTCAGCTTGCAGGACTCAAGATTGCTTGGTATGTTTTTACCTCAAGGATTCAATATACAGACATACTCAATCCTTTCTTCAGACCAGAGGAAAAAGTTTAATATATTTCATTTAAACCTCAAGAAACAAAGTAAAATAGTGTCTTTGATGCAATAATCTAATATTTGGCAGGAGAGGAAAAAATCTAGGCTCTGTTCATTTTATAAGAACTACCTTTCTGGGGAAAGATGGGGAATAGAGTATCATGGATGTTTAAAATCATGTCGGTTTAATCTAATCACTTTCCATTCTGCTCCTAATTGATTTTCAATTTTGATTTGTAAAAGACCAGCTGTTCCTAGAGCAGTAAAGCCATTTATTGTCCACATTTCTTTTTCAGGTGATTCTATGCTCTTTCGGTACCATAGCTCAAAGATGAATGTTTTTCCATACAAATATTAGTGTTGGAAAGTTAATGTCCATATTCTTCCCCTTAAGGCCTGTATCCTGAAAAGTTGCCATTCCATTAAACTTTGACATCAACCTTTCTAATATATTCTAGGAGGAGATTGAAGCACGAGTGGAAAGATTCAACTCTCTCAGCAGCTATGGTCAGAGACTTGCCAATTCTGGTCACTATGCAACCCCTGAGATTCACCAGTCCCTCTCCCGACTACAGCAAGCCTGGTCTGAATTGATCCAAGCGTGGCAGGAGCAAAATACAAAATTATTTGAGGCTCAAGATTTACAGGTAAGTAAATAAGTAAAAAAAAAGCATTTCATTTACATCCCATATACTTTTCTCAGTATATCCAGCAGACTAAAAAGATTTAATTACCATCAAGTGAGGATGGCGTAATAAAGGTGTTGCTGATAACACCCTGGGTTTAATTCATGTTTCAGTGGTTTCCAGAAGGCATAATGAAGGCTGAGTATGTCCAATGATGGCAAGACCTTTAAAAATTGTATCTTTACAATCCAAAAACATTTCTGTGCAGTATGTGCTCTTATGTCTTTCAAAGGCTATAGAACTTGGCAAAATTCACACAAATCCTCATGCAGCTGTCTAAAGACACATGTTTGAAATGGAAAACCACTGTCCTACCAAATTCCAAACTCTAGCCCCCAGACATGGAGACAGACATACATTTTAAAGAAACGGTCTGAAAAAAAATGTATCGTGGACAAAATATTTTTCCCTGGTTTTATTCTAATGTAAAAACTGTTTTGGCTAAAGTTTTCCAGAAATACTTGCCTGAGACAGTCATCCCATTTACAAAATTCCTGCCCAAATGGCTTGTTGGCAAAAGTTAGGAATAACTGAAACAGAGATCTTATAATGGGGAGTGTCACATATCTGAAGTAACAGCTGGTGCTGCTAGAACCTTCTAAAAAAATCATATATATAAGTACTTAAAGCATATGGTAAGTGCTGCTTTCATGCTTCTTTATATATTACCTTCTGCTTACTTCAGGCAGCATTACCATCTCTCTCCATGGCCAGTACTTTACAGAGCACTCTCAATGTAAAGGTACATTTGTAGTTTTAAGGACTAGAGTATGGAAATCTGTCTACATTATTAGCAAACATGCTATAAGTACTTGTATTCTACCATATACCTGAGATGAAAGAAATAGTTCCTGTAAAGGAAGAAGCTACAATATTTATAGTCATGTATATAGCTATTGCAATGTCTAATGCTTATTGTCACACACTGCTATCTGATTAATTTTTGCAATAGCCCAGAAAGTTAATTATTTTTCAGCGCGCCGTGCCCAAGTCATGACTGCCTCTATTTTACAGCACACTTATGCCTGCTTTTTCTCCCCGAACAGAAATTCTATGGCTACGTGGAGCAGATTGAGAGCTGGCTCAGCAGCAAAGAGGCTTTCCTAGCCAATGAGGACCTAGGGGTAGGTATGCAGGGAAACCACACTAAGAGAAATGACAATATTCCCCGTCTGAAGGACAGAGAAGTATGATGCTGTGCGCTGAACCTTCCTGCAATCACTCTCCCTCCAAAGTTGCTGCTCTGCCTTGTTGACAGTTTAGGATCAGATTTCTTTCCTCGATACTCTACACAGACAGGATAGGTTTCTCAGCGCAGAGTGTAATGAAACATTCCAGCTACCTCTGTTACAGTGGGGAGCTCAGACTGCATCCCTAACGGGTCATATCTGACCCAAGTGAGCTTACCAGCAGCATGCAAGTCAACATTGCTGTTACTCCTGACATAGCCAATATAAGTTTAAATTAGCTACCTCAGGCACAATAAAAACCATGCAGGATGCTGCCTCTACACACTGATGCAACCTGTATAGGCAGTACACAAGCAATCTTAAATCCCACCCCTGCTGTCTCTGCAGGACCTGCAGCTACGTCTCCGAGTTCAGTGTAGACATGATTGGTACAAATGGTACTAATGCTAGCAGCATCTGTCTTAGTTACTTTCAGCCTGGAGGTGTGTATTCACAGCCCCTCCGCTGAAGTACAAGAGACTTGAGAGAGGCACCCATTTTTCAGGCGTTTTTAGTTCAGCAGTGCACTGGATATAAGCTCTGTGAGTACTTGGTATTTCAGTAATTCATGTAAACATCCAGCTGTTTAGATGTTTTGTAATCCATTTGATATGAAACTTCTGAGGGGATGAGCTTCTTCAGGAGCTTTACAGCTCCCTCTAGAACAGTAGGAAAACTCACCTTACTAAAGTAACATTTTAACGCTTCTGATTCTGAAATTAAAAGTACAGAGGGGTGCTGAAAAGAGAACTCTGATTCATTAAGTTTGAGTTACAAACATTACAGTAAGTCATATTCCACATTTCTCTTGAGATTAACTGTAATGGCAGGCTGCAGTCCTCAGATTCAGATCTGGGTCTGTGCTCTTCCAAAATTCAGTGGGTTAAAGCTGAAGCCTAGTTTTAACCTCTTTCTGTGATATATTTGTTCATTTAACCTTGATCTCATTTTGGCATCCTATATTTGCTTCCAAAATAGCCTCTGTCTATAAATCATATTGATTTATGATTAGGAGGAGATCAGCTCTATCTCCTGAGAGGCATGAGGTGCTGTTTGTAGCAAAACATTCAGCAGAAGCTGCTGAGAATCCAGCAGTTGTTCAGTTCTGACTCTGAATTAATGGCCTCAGACCATGCAGAGAATATTATTTATGCTCCTAGTCTCAGGTTCGATGCCAATAAATTTCAAAGACCAGTGAATTTCCCTGATGGCTTACAAATGTGGGGTAAATGCCATTTAGCTTTTGGATTATCAGTGCAGTGGACAGAATAACTGCCACTAAAAGGAACTTGCCATTGTTGAATTTTGTCCAGGACTCAGTGTCTAGTGTGGAGAGCCTACAGCGTAAACACATGCAGTTTGAGAAAGCCCTGGAAGCTCAGATGGAGAAAATCGATGAGATGGCTTCATTTGCTCAGCAGCTAGCAAAAAACAAGCACTATGACTCAGACAACATCACCAACAGATGCCAGGCCATTCTGAGGAGGTAAAGACAACTCCTTCACATGTCAACCACCCATTTCTTTTGCAGTGAGACTCTCCCCATGTGCTCTGAAGTCCTTGACTGCTTCAAGAAAACCGTAAACTGGTTTGCATTTACTTAGCATTGTGCCTCACACTGTGGTCCTGCCAAATTGGCTAGAGTCTAGTCAGTATTTCAGTAGGAGATTTCCAAAGTACAGTTAAATGGAGGGCAGGGTTCAGGAAAAGACAGTTTTCCTGTAATTCTGTATCCTGGCCTGGCTCTAGGGACAGTGCTTCAAACAACCCACAGAAGCCCGCTGTGCCAGTAAATACTTCGCTGTCATTAAATATCATCAAGAAAGGTCATTTGTGCTTTACTGTTTTTTCATCACTCTGAGGGAACTGACCTTAAAACGTTGCTCAAGTTCTCCATTAGGGCACTTACAGTTCTTTCTGATCAGATTTTGCCCTTTCATGTGAATTGTTTTATTTCTCTTAGAATGCTTCACACTGTTTCTCTTAAACAAATGCTGGTAATAGAGGCAGTTACATTCAGTGCTATAGTAGAGCAAAAGCAATGTACAAAATTTAAAGAGGAGATCCTTTATATGAAAGAAACATATGAATCTTATTCCTGCATTAACTTGAATAAAGTGCTGAAGTCCCATGTTTGGGAGAAAGATGAGAAGATGGTGTAGCTTTGGTTTATCAGACAGTATCAGTGTCAAATACGTCCACTGTCTTTCCATATACAAACATGCTAAGCTTATGTTCCATCGACTGTGAAAAGCACTAAGGGTCATTCTTAGAGGCAGGAATTAGATATAAAGAATAAGAACATATGTTACATATGACCTTCTCTAAATAGTTCTTCCTGCAGTGTCCTGAGCATCTTCTCTGGCAGTCTGAGTCAAGGAAGACTGCATGTTATGAACAACTGTTTCCTAGAACTGAAGGGCTAGATCATGTGGCTTTTGGAGATTAAATTTGAAAGCCCATATCCTAACTAATTCACTCTGTGGTTTTTACTTCACACTTTGTCTTCAACTCAGAAAAGAGAAACTGCTGGAGAATGCTGCTGCTCGCAGACGTCGTCTAGAAGAATCAAGGCTTTTGCAGAGGTTGCTGAAGAATTCCTTTGAGGTACAATTCCATTGGATTCATGGTGGTCTGGTTTCTTAAAATATACAGGTCTGAATCCCTGAAGGGGATTTACTAGGAGAAAAAAATTAAAAACTGAGTCTGGAATGAGATGATATTGAAAAAGATGAGGGTAAGAGAGAAGGGAACTTTTTCAGCATCCAAGTCACAGTCTCCCTTCATTATCTAAATGAAAGGTCTAATTCTGATAGTCTCCTCAAACCACAGTTCAATACAGAAGAAATAGATACATTAAAAGAGAATGATCCACCATTTGAAAACCAGTAGGCAAAGGCAAATTAATCCTTTTCCTATGAGATACTGACAGTGGGGTTAGTAATATGGATACAGCGGCCTTTTCTCCCCTGCATAGGCATGCATATACACACACACTGTGTACAGACTGTCTATCTCATGGATGCAACCTCCCTCCAAATTGGCAGTGCTCTTAAACAAACCTGTACAGGTGACCTCAGTATGAAAGAGATAAGGAGGCAGGAAAGCTGAATCTTAGGAGGAAAATTTTTTTTTCCCTGCTCACTAGTCCAATGCCTATTCGGAGAGAGCCTAATTGGGCAGATTGGAGCTGAAGAAACTCTGAATTTTTGTCTAATTCTGTTTTTTCCTCCCAAAAGGTGGCTGCTTGGATCAATGAGAAGAATAGTATTGCCCAGGATGACAGCTGGAAGGATCCAAGCAACCTGCAGACCAAGCTGCAGAAGCATCAGACTTTTCAAGCGGAGATCATGGCCAATAGAAATCGCCTGGACTCCATCAAATCTGTGAGAGAACCTGGGTTGATGGCAGGGCTTGAAAATGGTTGTGAAAGATGGAAGGCAGTCTGAGTCACAAAATCACTGTCCTCTTGTGATATTTTTCACTTTATTTACCTCTAAAGGGGGTTTGGAAGCTTACTTTAATTCATCAAGACCTTTCTGTGCCTTGGATAAAAGGCGTGGGATTCCTCCAGCTTATCTCTTGGGGTCGAGTGTGAGCTTGCTGTCTATATTCATTGTTTGTACCATGAAAACTGGTGGTTGCTTCCAAGGAGTGATTCATTCCACTAATTTTAAACACTTCTCTTTGGGGTGAATCACACTTTGGAGGTATACCTGTTTCTTTCCTGCATGGAGCCAAGGTGACTAGATACACAGTTTCAAAAAGTCAGATAAGATGAATCCTACAAAAGGTGTCAGGATGAGTTTTCAAGTGTTGCCTTTGCAGAAACTTGCTAGTGTGGGAGATATGAGGGAAGCCTGACAAGCTTTGTCAGCTACTTGGCAGAAGCTTTGATCAGATGATGGGTTTGGAAGGACAGACAGTTAAATATTAAACTTGTTCTCAGCATAATGCTTCCCATCTGTATTTTGCAATAGGTAACTGAGCACAGGGCTTCTCCTCAGATTTACCTGCATGCCATGATGCAGAACTATTGTTTTCAGAAACAGCATAGACACACGGGACAGCTAAGGGTGGAGTTACAGCTCTCACTGTACTAACATGTTTTTAGAGAGTTGTTTGCACAATCTCCTTATTTCTGCCTTGTCTTTGTCCTTGGGAATGCCCTTAGGAACTGATTTGAATAAAAAAAAAACTTCTGCTATCCTGGTTCAGCATCCTTCTCTCACTGTGCCTCCTCTCCCTGAATGCATCATGTAGAAGTAGCTCAGTGTAGATTTCTAAGGCTAATTTTGTCCCAGCTTAAGGATCCTCTGGCTGAAGGAGGAGGTCTTTTTGTGCTTCCTCTACCTCTTTTTCAGCCAGCATGTAAAGCATCTATAGGTCAGGGTTTAGAAATACAGATAGATTTTTACCATGTCATACAGTGATACAAATGTACCATTGTATGATATAGTAAAACCTCTTTTAAGATACAGGCAAGGGAATAGAAAAAGATAGCTGAACAATCTCCAACAGCGATCACAGAATATGGGAAATATAGAAATAACAGTGCTTGCAAACTAAGGCTAACTGCCAATCTTTAGGTGATGTAGCTATTGCGTAATGAAGATTCTCTTTAATGTCCTCTAGCCTTTAAATGTCCTCTAACATTGGCTTTGTAACATTTTTAAATAGCTTTAGAGATCAAAAATATAGGAAAATCAGGCTCTGCCGATGTTGATGTCAATAAGCATTTTGCCTTTATCCATTTCTCGTTTGGTTGTGCAGCCTCCTTATGTCAGGAAGTGATGGCCGCAGCGTTCCTTTGCCTAGCAGTGCCAAAAGAATTTGTTATTGAGACAAATGTGATATATTTTCATATACTCAGCAAAGGAAGAAAGCTCTGACAATTCTCTTGGTGTAGGAAGGGGAGAAGATGCTCCGTGAGAGGCACTATGCCCCTGAGGCCATTCAGTCCAGGTTGCAAGAACTGGAAGAGCTGTGGGACGAGCTGCTAGCAAGCTGCCAGGATAAACAGATCAAGCTGCAAGAGGCATACAAGGTAATACAGAGATGCCAAGGGCTGGGAATTGATGTCATTTCTGGAGATATCATGGCTGCCTTGATGCACAGTCTGATCTACTGGTGCGTTACTTGATACAGTGAGACGATTCCTCAAGACCATTAGAGCAAAGAAACTACTAAGCATGAACTGGTTGAATGCAACTAGTGGGAGAACTGGGAAAGAAAATGATTTGTAGAGTGTGTTCCCTTGTGCTTTCTGGAGCTGGTTTGGAGTCAAGGTTCCAGAGAGGGTTACTGAGGGGAAATATGTTCGCTCACTGTATCTGCTCACTCTCTGGGTCTGTCCCACTGGCATCTTTTCTCTAACACAAGTGAGAAGGAAGCTTACAGCTACTTTCCATTCTTCTAGCTCTTTGCCGCCACATGACTTTCCTCCTTGTGAGCTTTACATGAGCAGTCAGACACTTTGTAGGTGTAAAAGAAAGCTCCCCTCTTAATGGCTTCCTTTTTAAGTATTGTGTCCATCAGTGATATTTTTGCAACCTAAGTAAGATCAGATGTTCTCTGCTTCTGTTCTTGTGTTTGCTGTGGCTGAATTCTCTTGTACTAGTTCAGATGTTCTCTGCTTCTGTTTTCTGTTTGCTGTGGCTGAATTCTCTTGTACCACCTTCACACCTGGGTAGAGGTCACTGAGCACTGGAATTTTTTGCTGTGCTTTATGTGTAATCCTTCTTGAAGGTGGCCAAGATTTTATATTATATATCCTAAAGATTTAATTGGCATGTCCTTTTTGCTTATCCCCAGGCCCTTCACTTCCAGCGGAGTGTAGAGGATATGGAGAAATGGTTGGAAGATGTGGAAAATGAGCTAAAGACACCCTATAGTAGCAATGATCTGGTGGTTTTGAACAGTCATCTGAAGAAACAAGAGGAACTGGAGGAAGATATTGCTGGCCATAGGGACCGACTGCAAGAGCTGGTGACAACAGCTCAGGAGTTTCAGCAGGCGAAGCATTTCCTTGCTGATGAGCTTGAAGACAGAGTAGATCAGCTGGTGCAGAGGTGTGGGAGTCTGGCCTGTCTTTTGCCATTTTTATGCGATTTTTTGCAGTTTTTTTATTCCCGATATCCCCTTTTATTTCATTTTCTTTTCCATATCATTTTGAAAAGATGTCTGTTTTTTTTTGTATTAGTTCACTACCACTCTGTTGACCTCCCTGGATTCTGTTTAAAACGTGCAGGTACAAAAGTCTACGTGATCCACTGCAGCAGAGACGGGCGAGTTTGGAGTCAGGCAGACTTCAGTACCAGTTCTTCCGAGATGTTGATGAGGAGCTGGCCTGGGTTCGTGAAAAACTCCCAATGGCTTCCTCCAGGGATTATGGCCAATCCCTGGCAACTGTTCAGAGCCTGCAAGAAAAGCACCAGGTAACATAATGTGAAAACCATTCTCAGTCTTTAGAATCAAATAAAGAACATGGAATTCACCTGTCTGGCAAACCTCATCTGCTGTGCGTGTGTGAGTCATGATGCCAGGAATGACTCTTATTCTGGTCTGATATTTATGGCATTCTTTATAGGATGTGTCCATGGCTTGGCAGTGCCTGGAACTCCATGCTGCTTATCACTGCAGTGCTCTAAGTAGCACACCATATGCTGTGGATACATTAGCTCTTTCCGCAAACAACTGAGTTTCAATTCCTGGAGTCTGGAATACGAAATAGTTTTTACAAGCTGTTGTGCATGCTGGTATAGCTTCCTTGGCAACAGATGTCCTAATAAAATGTGCTTCCAAGCTCGTTAAATGCATCCAAGCACACTCATTGCTCAGACGTCTCAGTATGATCTTCCAGATAAATTTCTCTTCCTTTTCTGGAGGGAGGGACTTTACAGCATTTTATGATTTTGAGACAACCTTCATTTTAGCAATAGCTTTCAAGATGCTGTTGAGTCATTTTGCACAGTTCAGATAGACCATCTGAGATGATTGTGTCTAGAACAACGTCACCTCAAACACCAACAAAATAACAGCTGCTTTCTAATAGTTTTTGAGTAAAACAGACTGTCCCTTTGCAAACACACGAGGTGAAAGAAAATAATCCTGCTAAAAGTTTCCAGACATTCTTGGTATTTGCTGTTAGCAAAAGGCAATGCATTTAAGTGGGGCATCAAGTACCTCTAGGGAAAATCTGTGCAATCTGTAATAGAGCTGGGAAAGACAGAAAATTTTATAAGGTGAGAATGTGTATGTACATTCACATATATTTGGCACAGACATTTGGTGAGATCTGATACATGTCTAGAAATAAAATCTCAACTCGCAAAAAATTATGAATGTCCCCAGGGTAAAAAGTCAAAGGATAGGTTGTATACTAGGACAAGGAAATCCCTTTCAAAGTAGGAGAGTCATCCTAGGTGTGCTTACAACCTAATGAAGAATGATAAAATGGTTTTTCATTTATCTTCCAGAATAGTCCTGAGTAAGAAATTCCGTGAGAATATTGTGACTAGATAGCACCTTCTTAGTGTTTGGTGTAATTTCTCATATTTGTAAATATTCTGAATATTGAGTTTTGACTTTAAGAATAGGCAGTAAGAACAAAGGACTTGTTTCATTGTCGTGGGAAGTATGAGCCTTATTATGCCTGTAATTGCTTCTAAAATATGAGCTGATTGACATGGTAGGAAAGCAGATTAGAGTGATGGAAAGAAGGAATAGTTGAGCTGAATTTATCTGATGAAGTATTTGGGATAACTGAGGGAACTATGGATATGCCACTTTACGCTGCAGTGATCTCTGCATTGTTTGGCCAGATTTAAAAATACTTCAATAATTTGTGAAAATGGGGGAAAGAGACTGTAATAACAATGCAGAATCAAAGCCCAGTTCTTCCTGCCATTTTGCTGCTTATTCTCCTAGAAGCAGGGTTAAAATATATGTTTTGAATTCAGAACCTTTCAGTAGCTAGAGACTCCACACTTTTTTTTTCTCTTTTTTCTTTTTTCTTTTTTCTTCTTTCTTTTTTTTTCTTTTTTCTTTTTTTCTTCTTTCTTTTTTCTTTTTTCTTTTTTTTCTTCTTTTTTCTTTTTTTCTTTTTTTTTTCTCTTTTTTTTTTGACTTTGACTTTTAGGGCAACCTGTCAGAAATAAATTATCAGTCTGTAGCTCAACATACTGTCAGCTCCAATATCTATTGTTAGACTTAATTAGCCAGATTTACAAAATTCAGCCTTTGTTTTGCTACCACAAGAGTAATGTGCATAATATGTATCAACCTAAAAAATTACCGTGTCTTGCAAAAACATGTTTGCATGCAAATATAACAAGTATAAGCACAGCTGCTTGGTTTGAAAGTACAGTGTTTCCCCTTGCCTGCCCTTCACTTTTTTTGGTTGTTGTTGCTGCTGTTTGTTTTTGATCCAGTGGATGTAAATGAAGTACTCTGAAAATAAGCTCCTAACTGCTCAATTGCAAAGTTTTCTTAACGTTGCCAGTTTATTATTAATACACAGTACAAGATGTTTTACAATCTTTGCCACTGGATTCTGTTCTGTTGGTGTCAGAGATGGTGTCACTTTTCAACAACATAGTGGCTGCCGTGAAATTAATAGGGGGAAGTTAAAGGCAAGATTAGAATCAGAGCTCCCCTCTTTTGCAGCCAAGTGACCTGATATTGGAGCTGAAAGAATAGCTCGTGTCTCCAGAGGGTGTCTCTTCTGTGTAAATTAGCACTGCTGCCTAACTCTGAAACTGCCTGCTTCATAGCTCTGGAAATAAATAGAGAGGATGGTTGTAAAATGCTGGGGCTTGCTTGTTGCACAGTGCCCAGGTGTAGTCAGCTCTGGAGTGACCCAAGGAGAAGAGCTGGTCCATGCTCACCGAGGTGAAGGTCACCCAAGGAAGGTATGGAGGTAGGCATGTGGTTTAGTAAATCTGCGGGGCTTCAGAAATGGGTTTCAAAGAAAGTCTTCGAGAGCTGGTTTAGGTGGTTTGCTGCTGTTCCTGCTAGTACTATATGTGCCTGTAGTGTTTGCAGTAGTGATGTGGTTGTAACGTAAAGCTGCACCTCCTAGAAAGATGCTAAGAAGAGATAAATACTGGTTAGCAGGTGGAATTGGTTGTCCTTCCTTAGAAACATTTTAATTCAAGTGTGCTCCAATGCAGGTTAAAGTGGATATATTTCAGAGGTATCTACTGATAAGAGCTTGTGGTTAGACTCTCTTCCCTCCCCATTCTGAGGAGGGTACGCAGCACAGTGCAAACTTTGTGGCAAGATTATATGTGGCTGAGATTTCTGTAAATGCTCCTTAACTCCCCAAACAGATTTGTAATGGAAATATAGGACAACATTATCTCATAGAAAAATCTCCATGAGTTTTATTTTTGCTTTGTCTTTTACTCTTTCCAGATTTTGGAGAATGAGATAAATAGTCGGGATGCTTTGACCAAAGTGGTGCTCAGTACAGGACAGAAACTGGTAAGGGGAGGCCACTCAGCCTCCCACAAGATTATGGAGCATCTGAAGGAGCTGGAGACATCTGTAGAAAACTTGAAGGCAGAAGCTCAGGGGAGGAGGCAGAGACTCATGCAATCATACGAGGCCCATCAGTACCTTGCTGAGGTAAGGAAGATTCACGAGAAAAATCATTTGGTCTTTATTTGCTTAAAGGACTAGATAGCTAAATTGCTGGGTGTCTGGAGATAGGAGCAAAACTAATACTGTTCTGGCTTTTCATATCTGATAAACACAGATATAGTTGAGCAATAAGAGTTATTTTCTCTAGGACCTGACATGGGGGATAAACATGTAACCAAAACGACTGGGGTAAGTTACTGGGATTAGTAATTTTTGGAAAAACATTTTCTAGATTTTATTACAGACAGACCACCTAGATGCGTTCTAATCTCACTGTTATATCCTTGAACTTCACTGCTTTCCATTTTAATTTGCTGTGGCCTAAATAAATGCTGTGTTCATGCTCATAACCATATTTCATACAGTTACTGGAGGTGGAGGCTTGGTTGGCAGAGAGGAGCTTCATCTTGGGGACCTCTGATTATGGGAAGAATGAAGAATCCACCCAGGCTTTGCTTCGTAAGCTTGAAGCCACTAAGCTGGACATGGAGGGATTCAGGCCTCGGATTGAGAAAGTACAGGAGACAGGCACCAGCTTAATAAACAGAGACAACCCAGAGAGGTAGGAAAATGAAGGAAGGTGCTCCAAATCTAGTAGAAATGCCCAGGGAAGACAGATACTGAGAAGTTCAGCCTTGGGAAACTGGTGGCTCATTCAGAAATATGGCTTTGGGGGACATCAGTCCCTCCTTCAAAAAAAAAAAAGGACCAAAAAAAGGAATAAAAAAAAGAATTGTTCTGTTCTTTTCATGATTGTTGTTTTTTCAACAACAGGCCAGATACTGCTTTTTTGTCTACTGTGTATTCTCAAGAGCTGTCATCTAGTTGTCATTTGATATAAAGATTCAGGAAGCACCATGTTTGGGAAAGGAAACTGATATTCTGGACACTTCATTGCTTTTCATTGCCAATTTGCTTTTGTATCTGGGGAGAAGGAGATGAAAAGAGCAGCCATTCCTGCAAGATACTTTAATTTCCTGACCTAGCTGGTTTTCATGTCCTGGCATAACTCACCATATGATATCTGGACTCTTCCCTATTTTGAATGTGTTGCAAATTCAACCTGTCAGGAAAAATGGTGCTCAAAAATAGCAAGTAAAACAGAGACATACTTTTGATTTTTGTTCTTTGCAGTCCAGCCATACTCGCGAAGCTCCAGGGGATCCTAGCAGAGTACCAGTCTCTCCTACAGAAGGCCGAGACACAGAGAAAATGTCTGCAAGAACAATTCCAGCTGTATCAGTTTGAAAGAGAATTCCAGCTGGTGGAAGCCTGGCTGTCCAGTAAGCAGTCTGTGGCAGAGTCTGACGACTATGGACAGGACTTGGATGATGTTGAGGTAAATATATAAATAAAAAGAGAGAGAGAGCGTGAGCAGAAATATACTGGTCCTGTTTTTGTGTGTGCGTGTGTAGCTAGTGACAGTGCAGCAAGTTACAGTGCCATTCCCTCCAATGTGCGTCCCAAAGTTGTCCTTTTCAGGGGATAAGGTGAGGCCACCACACTTCACTGTGGCCCTAATTGTTAAGTAATCATTTGGCCACAGTCTTAAAACACTGTCCGTGAGAAAACTAAGATGGACCATCCACACCAGCAGCTGAACAGCTGCAGGTTTCAAGCATGAGTTTCTCCTCAGAGATGGAGGGATGACTTGCTTGTGCAGAGACGTATAGTGTCCACTCCTCATTATTGAAGTAATGCTTTCAACAGCTATTACATACATAGACAAGCTAAACTGGTTATGTTTGGCAAATCTCCATCTGTCAGGATGTAGGTGTTTTTTTTATTCTGTAGCATAAGTTGTTGAGGATATTAACAACAGAGGTTTTCCTCTGACTCTAGAGCATTTCAGTTTATTGAGTGTCTTGTGCTTATAATCTGTAATTCATAGCTTTTTTGTTCTGCAGTAGGGAGAAAATGATTCCTTTTGCCTCTGTAAAATAGGTAGGCAGAAATTCTTTTATTTAAGAATAACAGATTATTTTCCTTTATTCTGCAGGTGCTGGAGAAAAAGTTTAAAGATTTCGTAAATGAGGTGAAACCTCTTGGACATGCCAAAGTTCTTTCCCTAAATGAATTAGCATCTAAGCTAGAGAAAGAGGGCCACAGCAAGACTGAAGTTATCCAGAAGAGAACAAAGGAAATCAATGAAATGTGGGAGAAACTACGCCATGCCATCCAGGCAAGGACAGAGGTAAGAAATACGTGAAAAGCTAGTGGGGCATTGAATTCTCTGCATTTTCTCTGGCAAGGTTTATATTTGGAAGGTATGTATCAGCCTAGAGACATTCTGTTTTCGTAAATTCACTGCAGCCTCCAGTTTCCTGAAACACTAAGCCAATCTAATGGTTTACATCAACTAACAAGAGGAAGTTTCACCCTCTATATCCTCCTTACCCTCTTTATTTACTCTGTCCTCCTTCCTGCTTTATCCCTGGCTGCTCAGGACCCCTTGTCCCAGTTCTGGCACTGACTAGACTGTTTCTGGCACTGCTTTAGCTCATTAAACCAGCAAAAAACTATGCAGATTTGTTTACCTGGTTAGCAAGCTAAAGTCAAAGAAAGAGAATAGGAGATAAGGTGGTAAAGGGCCAAGATGCAAAACCTCTGACTTCTGGCAGCAGTCGGCTGGTAAATCAGCTCACCTCATCCTGTGAAACTGCAGCCACAGATCTATTTGGAAGTGCAAAGAAGAAAGGACATATTGAACTTGATGTGTGTGTTTGCTTTAAGGAGATTATAAAATATCAGATGTCCTCAACACTTTAAGTTACTGTTACCTACTGTCATTTTGCCTATGAAGTTGCTGAAGCCCACTATTTGTCAAACAAGTGCTTGACGTTTGTTTTTAATCTGATCGCGAAATGCTATTAGAACATTTTTAATCCTCTTATCTTGTAAGTCCTGACTTTCACCTAACTCACGTTATTTTCACAGTTTGAAATGTAGGGCCCAGTCCCAAGCAGGTTTTTTAGACTACAGCCAAAAGAGGTATCTGTAAAGGGCAGTTCATGCTCTCACTCTTGATCATTCATTTTAGGAGGGATAAATTGCTCTAGAAACATGTATTTCTTTTTATTGACATAGAGAATTTGGGTTAGGTTGGTGGCCCTTTCAGATCACTTGATTGGGAAGACGTTTCATTCCTCCACTTGTTCAGTCTGTTCTGCATGAGGATATGATATTAGGGTTGCCTGTTGTTACACTGCAGACAAGATGCATCATATTACCAGTTAATTGTTTCTTTATTCCAGAACCTAAGAGCAGCCCAGCAAGTTCATCGGTATGATCACGATGTGGATGAAGTAAAAGGCTGGATGCAGGAGAAAGAGGCGGTGGTGGACATAGAAGATTATGGATATGACCTTCCAGGTGTCCAGACGCTTCTAAGCCAACTTGAGGGAGTTGAGGTAAAGAGCGCTGTCATGAAGCAGTGGGCAGAAAAATGTGAATGAAAAAAGAATGGAGACTTCTACACATTTTGAAATCTTTTGGGCTGCCCCGTTTGCAGGCCAACTAAAGATAAATGTATTCCATCCTGGAAAATCCATTGTGCCTCACAGCAAGGGTGGCTTTTTCTGCTGCTTTTATCATTGTGAATTTATATTATTACTACTTTTATTTCTCAAGATGAGTTCTCCTTCTAAAGTTTAGTCAAAGATTGTTGTTCGAATTGCAAAGGTGTCATGTGAAATGCAGGAAGAGACTTCAGCTCCATGCTTGTCAAAACAATCAATGTGTTGTATCTGAAGAAGCTTCCTTTGTGTTTGAGGATGAATGTTTACAGGCATGAGGAGGAAGCTGAGAGGAAAAGACCTGATAGTGTCATAGTTCTCTCATGTGTGCAGTCAGTGTGTTAAAAAAATAGGCACCATCTTTGAAATGTGCTTTTGATAATCTCTCCATGTAAATAGAGGCCTGATCTTACAGTCAGTTCTGTCCCTGTTCCAGAGAGATCTAGGAGCCATCATGAAAGAGCTGGAGCGGATTCGGGGAGAGGCTTGGCACCTCAGCCGCACCTACCCTCAAGTCAAGGAAAACATTATGGAGAGACTCACAGACGTGGATGAGTGCTGGGGAAACCTGGGCCAGAAGTTCCTGGAGAGGAAGGCAAGACTGAGCCAGGCAGAACAAGTCCAGCTCTACTTCAATGACTGTAGGGAGCTCATGTATGTGTGGGTCCCTTGCATTTGGCAGTGGGCCTAATTTCTTGTCTTTTCCTCTTGGGGTTTTCTATATTACACCTGTGGGTGGTTTCACTCCTGTCCCACATGTTCTGAAGCTTGATTAGGAATTTTCTTTGAATAATAATAGATCTCGTCAATACTTGACGTAGCAGAGGGACCGTGCCACTCTGCTTCAGCACAGTGTGCATGTTAGACCTGCAGTGTGAATGATACTCATATCAGACTATTTCCTATAAAGTTTTGGAGAATTCAGTCACTCTGGATAGTTTTGGTAGTCTCACAATTGCAATCTAAGACACCATTCTTTTTTTTTGGAAGATTAGGAGATCTGTTCTAGGTATTCAAGTAGTTAAAATGCTTTTATTAGAGTCAAAGGAACTATATTAAATACAGTCTTCTAGAACACATTAGTACTTGCTCAGGTATTGCAAGTGTTTTGGACTTTTTTTTTAATACTATTACCCGTAAGTGCACACTCTCCTGTCCATTTTTATTAGATGTCAGTGTTTTGTAGTAACTCAGTTGCTGGCAAATTCCTTTTTTTTCTCTCTCTCTCTTATTTTTTTAATCTGAATGAGAACAAAAGACTGAATGTTAACAATATTTATAAAGCATCTTTCAAAAAATAAGTTGAACATCTTGTTTTGATTAATTCAACCATGCCTGTGTATCTATAAGTAGAATCTAATGTAGACGTTCGAATAACTGATGGAAATAGTTTTTACTGAAAGTGGCAGATCTACACTGCTAAAATTATAATTTTAATTGTTTTAATGACATTTGCAGCAAAATTGATACATTCACCATGAATTTTTGAACAGCGTTTCTCATAGATTATGAGAATAGAAATGAGGGAATTTTGCAATCAGTGAGGTGAATGACAGGAGTATGACTCCATGACAGGAGTAGGACTCAGAAAACATTTCTCATAGCTTATGAGAGTAGAAATGAGGGAATTTTGCAATCAGCAAGGTGAATGAAAGGATTAATCCATGACAGGAGTAGGACTCAGAAAACAGTGAAATGGTTACCTCAGACTATTGGGCACTTGGAAAGCTGAGGAATAGATCCAGAGCTCAGGTAAAACAAGATGCCAGTTGAGGCTTGTGCCCAGGAATACAAACTCTTCCTTAAAAGCAGCTGTCAGTCTCCTGCTTTGTATGAGTGCTCCATAGGTGTATGAAGTGCTCTTATGCATGGCAGTAAGGTTACATGGACACCTGGAAGCCCTTTGTCCCTGTATAAAAGCTCTATGAGTTTGTCCAGCCCGCGCTGCTGCGGTGACAGGAGTTCCCATGAAGGATTTAAATGCTTGTCCTTTCAGTGGGTCGGGATGCTGCAGCTGCTTGTCTAAGGCCCGAGGTATTGCAACTTCAGTGGGAATATTATAGAAGGTTATAAAAATCCATAAATGCCTGGGTTAGTCTGTACAAATGTGTTAGTATATTTATATATTTCATGGTCAAATAAAGGTCTGTATACATAGGTCCACATCCATGGGATGTACGCATTCCTGGGTAGGCAGAGGGTTCCGTTTTCTGTCATTTTTTCCCCCTTTGCCTCTGCTCTGTAGGGCTTGGGCCAACGAGATGCATGCGCTAGTGATATCCGAGGAACTGGCAAATGATGTGCTGGGAGCTGAGCTGCTTATCAAGCGCCACGAGGAGTACAAGCGTGAGATAGAGAAGCAGTGGCTGAAGTATGAGGAAATGCAGCGCGCCGGAGATGACCTGATGAAGAATGGACATTTCATGTCTGTGGAGGTGTGTTGGTGATGGATTAAGTATTTTGCAAACAAGAGTAAACTAAGGAGACTTATTAAATGAGCAGATGCCCAGTTGTGGTGTATAGCAAAAGAACCTTCAAGTAAGTTTTCAGAACTTTTGAATTTAAAAGCCATCACAGATTTACAGATTTGCCCCTCACTTACTGAGACTTTGAAAAAGAAAAGCACCTTTTAAAGTTCTTCCTCACTCCTCTAAAAACTGATTTTTGAATCTAACCATAAAAGGGAGAGCAGTCACTGCATTGATTATAGCTGTGCAGATGCTGTAAGAGATATTGCTGTTCCACAGAAAACATGAGCCACACAAATAAGTTTTTAACATTTAAATACATAAGAAGTAGGATAGAGTAAATCATAGTGCAGATCACAGAGAGTTTGGTGAGCTAATAAGAACAACAGAAAATAAGCAATCCTTCAGAAATTTTAGAAGGAAGACTATCTTAACTTTTAAAACCACTCTGATCATTTGCAATGACCCCAGATTTGTCCTAACACTGTCAGTGGATCCAGAGATTGCAGAAACATCTTCAGAGTGTATGGAAGATTACGTCCACTGCAGAGAGAGTTAGTGTTTTCAACAGATTAAGGATTTCCATTGTCAACATGCCATAAATGCATAATATTTTTGAGCCTTCTGGGTTAGCATCACAAAATTGTCTATAGGTCATTTGAGTCTGGAAGGTCAAAGTACATATTAGATGGATGTCAAAAGATAGTCTGCCCATATTTTTCACCTGCTGGCATTACAATTGTTATTTTTCTAGATTGAAGAAAAATTGTTAGAGCTTTCAGAGCTGATGAAGAAGGTAAAGGATAGCTGGGACATGAGGAAAGAGTTGTATGAAGAAAACTGGGAGATTCAGTTGCTCCGGAGAGAACTAGAACAAGCGGAAGCGTGGCTGGCTGCCAAGGAGAGCTTTCTTTCGGATCCCAGCTATGGGGTTAGTACCACCATTTGGCTGGATGGAGTGCCTAAGTAAGTGTGAAAATCTCAGGCTTGACTACTGTATCTGTTGCTGATTTTTTCCGTCAGGATTCACTGTCTGAGGTGGAAGAACTATTGAAGAAACACCGGGATTTTGAGAAGATGCTTGCAGCTCAGGAGGAGAAATTTGCTCAACTCAACAGGAAAACTAAGGTGAGAAGGAATCTCTGTGTGAGACAGGATGTTGTCACAGGATGACCTGACTCCTTGGGTGTCTGGGTCTCAGTCACTCCTCGGCAAAATGAATTACTGTGGTGAGATGGAGGAAATGGATGTCCAAAGCTGAGCTGCTGGAAACAGCAGATGAGAAAGTAAGAGTTGTCCAAGTAGCTCTAGAGGAGAAGTGGAAATTTGTTCTTCCAGGAGCAGAGCATGCGCTGCCGTATGAAGTCCAGAGTGATCCTTCACAATTACATTAGTCAGTAGGTTGAAAGAGTTTGTGTCAGCCTTTTGCTCTGTGCTTCTGCAGGTTGTCTAAACCAAGGGACAGAGGTCCTGCTCTCTAAAGTAAGTGAGAATATTCCTGGATACTCATTGTCCCTGCGGTAGATTTAAAGCAAGCAGTGCTGCAATATAGAGGCACAATTTCTCTGGAGATTATTAAAGTCTCGACCTTTACGGATCTTGGAAAGGGATGGGTTTCATTTGAGATTGATTCCCACCAATGTTCATAATTGGTAAAATAACACTGAGAGCATAGCAATTAAGTTCAATTCTAACTCTAAAAATACTAGTGGAGGTACAGTCTTTTAAAGTCAGTGACAGAAGAAGGTGCATTTGAAAATTATTCTTGCTTAAAACAAAATATTTTTAGGTAAATACCCGTAACAGCATTCTCCTGAGTAATCTCACAAATGTAATGTTTGTGTCTTAGAGGGAGATGAATCTTCTGAAACAAACTGACAGAGAAGAGAACGATTCAAAAGATCAAGGCAAAGTCGTACGGGTTCCCTCTCTGAAAAGGAAGACATCTGACAAGAGGAGTCAGCCGCCAAGAGTGATAGAGATAAAGAGCACAAAGCCACCGCCGACTGCTCCCCTACCCAGCCTGGCCTTGGGAGCTCCCCTGGAAACAATTTTCTCCCCTCTTGAGAAGTCTCCAGCAACATTTCAGCTGTTCAGTCCCGGGGAATTCCCTGGGGACAGCACCAAAACAGAGATGAAAGCTGAGAGGAGAGTCAGTGAGAGGATCCCTCCCCCTGCACCAACGCCCATGAGTCCACAAACTACAACTTTGGAAAGTCAGGGTTCTCTAGCATCTCCCTTATCTCCTGCTCTCACAAACCAGCAAAGCAGCAGCAGTTTGGTGGAATCGCATTCTCCAGACCTTCCATCTGCCCAAGAAGAAAATGCCAGAGGGGTCGCTTTCTCCAACCTGCAGACAAAAGTAGTGATAACTCCACCTGGCCAAAGGCCACAAGATAAATCCCCAAACTTATTGCTGTCTGGTTCCTCTCAGGAGAGATTAGAGAATGCGTCTTCTGTAAGTCCTGAGGATTTCTGACTTTATCCTCGTAAAACCAGTGTCTCATGCTACCATGTGCTAGTTAAAATGCCAGAATAGTTCTGTAAGGAAGTCACAAAAAGAACTGTATGGTGCTCCTTTCAGTGGATTCCCTCATGGAGCCGAAGGGCAAGAACATTTAATGTGCCTGTGCAAAGCTGATACATTTTCTAGAAAGATAGCTGCCTTAGCAAGCTAGGCGTAACTTAAAAGTTCTTGAATGGCTCTTAATTTCAAAATGTTTGGATGGCAAACAGACATAGCAATTGTACTTCAAGGAGTCTGTCCCATATGTATAGCCGTGTATATTTACACGACGGTACGTGTGTATGTGAATGTAGTCATGTATATTTACACTTTGTGTTGCTCCAGCTAAGCAAACACCTGGCTTAAAACCAAAACCTTTAATGAATATGCTCTGATAGAGGGCATCCCATGAGAAAAATCATTCTAAGTGGCCATGGACTATCTTCATTTAGGTAGTAAAATAGAGATTTGACTGCAATCTAGAGGGCATTTTTAGATGTGCTGTGAACGTAAAAGCTTAGAGGCAACAGAGATCAGTTCTTCTGTGTGGAATATACCTAGAAATAGCTTCAGAAATTCTAACACATATTTAAGGGCTCCTTTAAAGTTAAATAGTAATGTCCTTGTGTGTCATTTGCAGGTTTCTGCAAGTCTCCAGCACATGGAGGGACTCCTAGAAAAGAGAGACCAGCTCCTTCCAGGAAGACACCAGGTAGAAACAAAAGCCCCCACTCTGGGTTAATTCTTCTGTCCTTGAATTATAGTCCAGAGCACGACTTCTTCAAGATAAACTCTTGCTGAAGGCTGTGGACTTAATTCAGTGTCCACAAAAACCATGAAGAAGTTTCCACTGACTTCAGCAATATTTGATCTCATCCTTAGCAGAAAGACAATTTTCGCCTGTGAGGGGAGTCATGCAGGACAGGGTCAGTCTGCATTTGCTGGATTGATTAACAGAACCTGGGCTATATGACAGTTAATTCTATTCCCCTTTGAAAAGAGTCAAGACTCGAGGTGTGATGTTTAGTCAGCAGTGAAAGCCCCCCCCTGTCCAAGGCCTTCAATGTCTCACTGTACTAGAAGATAATTGAAAGACATGAGGAAAGAGTTGAAGAAAACAGTTGCTCTTTGGCATTGAGTGGAAGAAGTGGTTTGTGTAATCTGGGGCTGAAGGGAACTGAAATCTGAATTCTCATCCTGGTAAAGCATATGGCTTCAGTTCAGTAGGATAATGCTCATAACAGGGCAAGAAATTTTCTAGTATTTACCACAAGTATGCAGACATCTGAGTGCTTGCTTTGGTATGGAATGCAAACGAGTTTTCCTGGATTGTTTATCCCACAGACTATTTCCTCCTCTAAAACTTTTAACTTGCAAGAGCTCTTTAACAAAGAAATCTATTCTGAATTTCATCATCTGGAAGCAAAATTAGTTATTCCTCTGTTCCAGGTACACTGCATTACATTTCCTGTGTTACTGCACTCCCATCTCACCAACCAAGCAAGATTGTGACATATCTTCCGTAGGATTTTCTATCTCCATCTCAAGGATCCCATGGCACAAGTCTAATGTTTCATAGCCATAGGGGATAGCTCAGGAAGTGAGGAAGATTTCAGCAGCCACATTAGATTGAAATCGCATATGGATGAAAACTAGAACATGATCAGCAAGCATGGGACAATATTCCAGCAGCTGGAGAAATAAAGTGGGGCTTTTGGTGGCCAGAAATAGGCACAGCTTTGATAATCCATCCGCTCCCAAAGATGCTGCTGCTCACAACGCAGTGCAGAGCTTGCTTGGGCCATGTTATGTCATTTGTTGCCCTGCCGTGCAGAGAGCCCCGGGCTCAATCACCCTCCCCGTTAACTACAGCAGGCTCTGTTTTTCTAGGAGAAAATCATGAGCTTCTGTGATCATCATCTGGGCAGCTCCTGGCTCACTGTGGAAGCTGCACACAGAAGATTTCATGCAATTAAATATATAGCCATTAATTGGATTTTATCATTGTTTCTGTTCATATAGCCAGGCTCAAGGTCTTGGAAATCTTTCTATGTAAAACTTGATGGTCTCAAACTTGATTTCTATGATGACGAAAAAGAAGCCTCTAAGGTAATTGCCTTTTTCTTTTTGAATCTTTCCAGTAGTCATTCTGTGTTTCCCTATTTAAAATAGAATTTAATAAATAAATAAATCATAGTTACCTTGGTTTTGTTTGGGACTAGAGATAATTAGTAACCCTTTAAATGTTAATTGGGTCAGAGCCAACAGTTGTTCCATGGACTCCAACCGTAAAACTGAAAAAAACAAGCTTTCAGAGGTTTTTCAAAGCTATTCTTTAAAAGAAGTATCTATCTTATTCAAGAATTGCTTTTGACATAGAGTGCAATATTTGGCTGCTCTGTTGCTGTTCCTTTAGAATAGTTGCTTCCTATTCAGTGACCCTCTTTGCAGTTTTAGAAGCAGAAAAAGGCAGTGTGGGTGAGTAGTCAGTGTGCAAGTTGGAATAGGATTGAATGCTAGGAGAAGGACACAGAAAACACTCTGCTGTAATTTCCTCCTCCCTCAGAACGAATCCACACTCCTGTCTCTCAACATTGCTGGCGCCACCTGTGAGAGGCTGATAAAGTATATCAGGAAAGAGAACGCCTTCATGCTGCGGTAAGCCCTGCAGAGAGGCCCACAGAGCAAGCCTGTGTGGCTGCATTTACTTGCAGTCACCCAAGGCTGTTGCTAAGAGGCATAGCTGAAATGTCTTGCAGTGCTTGCACCCTTGTAACGACTGGAAGGTGGAAGGTAGGACTAACTGGAATGCCTCTCTCCTGTCCTTGTTTACAGGCTGAGAGATGGGGCAGAGTATTTCTTTGCAGCACCTTCTCCGATGGTGATGGAGGACTGGCTGCAGTCACTGCAGAATAACATAGGTAGGTTCTCACTTGCTTCAAGGACGAGCTGTGTTGTTAGCAAGTGGGGGTGTAGAAAGGGAAGTGAAGGAAATATTCTAGTCTTTCCAGAGCCATCCCTTTTGCCTCTGTTAGACAGCAGTACGTGAGTCACTTGGTGACCTGGCAGGAGGATATTCAGGGAGGCTTGAAAAGCAGCTTCTCAATTACACTGTGCCTGGCACCAGGTTGTTCCCAGGGAGAGGCCTTGCCCATGGGCTGTTTCCATCCCTTGAAGAAAGGGCTGCTTTGGTTCTCGACCAGCAGCTCTCCTCCGAATCCAGCTCTCATTCCGGACACCTCAGTAGGCAGTGGGATGCTGTGATACCGAAAATGACATCAGGACCCAAAGATAACTGGTGTTCAGACCAATTTGTTGTGGACCCAGAAATGCCAGGCTGCCACTTACTCTGCCTGAGAAGGTTTTTGTTGTTCTCTGACACTCTGCAGGACACAGGAACAGGCCAAAGGTGCAGCTCTCCATTCCAGAGACTCCTCAGAAAAGAGTGCGGGACTTTCCAGAAAGAGACACTGCTGAAAGACTAACCAGCAAAAGCTCGCTCCTGAGGTAAGGCCTCTGTGCTTCAAGGATGAGCAGATATCACTGATTTTGTATGTAGGTAGCAGTCACCTGCAGAGTAAGATTTTCTGCAGGTCAAAAAGTCCCAGTCCTGTGTCACTAACCTAGCAGAATACGGTGGTACGAGCCAGCTCCACTCCATAGTTGTCATTTATGATGTGCTACTGCCAGTTTTCAAACATGGGACCTCACTGAAGTCGGCCATGTCCTGTGTGTGGCTGCTGATTAAACTGGGAGGCACAGGAATACGTGTGTTACCTCTCTCAGTCAGCAAAGTTACAAAATGGTAACACACGCAGACAAACACACGCGTTGAAAATACAGCTACTGTGCCTGTCAGGAAATTTGGTCCATGTGTAAAATCAGCTTGTGTTGCATTTGGGATCTGTAGGAGTCTTACAGACCATGATGTGAAATCCTGGTGTGTCTGCCAGGTGGGTTTTTGGTGCTGAGCTAGATGCCTAACGAAGTTCTTACATAAACATAGAGGCATAAGTTCATCCAGGTTATCCCTGATTTTATGGTGATGCTTGTTGTTGACAGGAGGACACCTTCCTTCAAAATCAAATCGGAGAAAGAGCCTGCAGAATTTTACAGAGATTTTAAGGAAGATGGGACTGCGGTAACACGAGCTTCCATCACCACCCTGAGACCAGAACAAAATGGTAATAAAAAAAATCTGCCCCTGTCTCTGCTAGAAACAGGAAGAGAACAATGACATTTGCCCCAGTGAATATCAGAGCCTTCATCACTGCATCTTAACCTAGCCCTTTGGAAATGTAAATCACTTTCTTGGAACTTGATAAAGGCACTGTAGCATCACAGTACACCAGAGGCAGCTGTGTTTAATCATATTTAAAGGCTTTGCTAGATTTAATAGGTGATTAAAATAAGTTCCAAAAAAGCAATTAGATTAAATTCATCCTATCACCTAGGATGTATGAATAGGTATCTATTCCAAGTGGACCTCTGAGCCAGACAGCTAAGTGAAGTGGCTCTATGGGAAGGAAATGGAGAGCCCTGAGCAGAGAGCGAAGTGCAAACTGTGCCTGAGCAGCAGCTACCTGCAGGGAGCTTTGCAGTATCAACAGACAAGGCTCAAAAGAAGAGCCTTGTTCAGTCTGTACATCACAGAAGTACAGGTCACTTAGAGTACATTTATTATAAAATTCCTGCAGTGTTTTGTAGCCTCTATAATCTTTCATTTTTACAGTAGTCAGCTGTTTCATAACTATTTACCAGTTCTTTCTGGATCAAGTTATCAGGAAAAAGAAATTAGTAATTTTTAATGGGCTATAAACTAAAATTATTTATGAACAATCAGTCTCTTAGTGTAAAAGGAGAGGCAAAGCAGGATATCAAAGAGGATGTCTACAAACCTGACCATACCTATGGGAAAGCTTAAAAACTAGGTTAATTTTACATTAACATGAACCTACTAGGACGATGGATTGCATAGAACGTGTATGAGATGGTCTTTGGAGTATGAGAAGGATGAGGGAAAAAAAGTCACATCCTCTAGTATGTTACCTGTATAAAATCTCAACTGTTCTCATTACACTGTTAGCTGTTCTTGCTTTTAAATTTCTACAACCAAAGAGTTTCATGTGCACACAAGATTACCAGATTTTTCTCCCTGCAGCACATGCCGAAAGTCGCAGCACGATGCAGCAGCAGCAGCAGCTCCGTTGAAGGCAAGTGCCCCCTTTCCCCGCCGCCCATTAAGGGGAGTCTGGTGTCTGGCAAGTCACCTTGAAGGGCAGTCAGCTGGTTCAAGCAAGGTTTCCCCTGGGTAAATCCATGCTGGGTGTTTCTGATGATTATGTTCCATCCTCCGTGTGCTTGCAAACGGAGTCCAAGACAACTTGCTGCAGGATCTTTCTGGGTGCTGAGGGGAGACTGTTGGTCTCATCCATAGTTCACCAGGTGTTTTTCTTCTTGCCTTTCCTCAAAAAAGCTGCAACATTAGGCTTCACCTAATGGGGGGGTGGTTGGGGAGAACCACCCCCAGCCACCGTAACTCTTCGTGGATGGTAGAGCAGCGTTCTCACAGTTGCACGCACACAAGGCACGCACGGCCCTGCTCACGAGCACTCACGTGCAGGTGTGAGGAGAAGCTCGTGGTCTGAGCTCCCCATCCCAACCACAATGCTCTATTACTGTTTCCTTTTCAGATGCTAAAACTGAGCGCTCAGATGTGAAGACAAGGACCCGTTCTAGTCCACTGACCACAATGAAATAAGAAAGATCTAGAGCCTGATGGAAAGGAGGAGATGCAAAAAGAAGGAAAAAAAAATCTCTTGAAAAGTTCTTTACTGTGGAATAACAGCTCAGCCTGGAGATGTTGTCTGGAAAAGACGGTGTCTTTCCCTTCACAACACTCTGCTGCCTTGGAAGCAAGATGACAAGTCAAAAAAGCATGCACTGAGAGAAAGGTCTCATTATATAATCATGATGGAAGAAAAGAGTCGTCGTCGTTTTCAGAAATTGAACCTTCACAATGCAGGTGGCCAGAGCTTCTAGCCTAGGAAGGACTTTAGTCTTCAAATTGTTAGAGATTATTATTTGCAAATGAAGGCAATTTGATGCTGTTGGGTGTATACCTCACTCTCAGGGACCACCAGTCTTGCCAAATCGAGTTACTCTGGTCGTGGATGAGATCTGAGCAAGAATAACTACACCTTGATCCCAAGTCTCCAGGGATGAAAGATTCGTGCACTCCATGCTTTTATCATCTCACAATATTTTCATGTGCTGTTTTATATAGAGATGCTCGTGTAAAAGACGTCTTGACTCATCTGCGCAGAGCTTCTGTGTAACAGCTCTGCCTGTAGTGCTCTGAATGGTGCTCTGCAAAGCCCTAGAGAAAAGCACCATCCTCACTCATCATCGGACAGAAAACAGGCTTGGCAGATTCTTTCAGGGAAGACCTTTAACCTGTCAAAAGTGATTCACACATTAGGAATGCAGTAAATTACTGAGTGTAAACCTGCCTTTCTGTACCTGCCAATGTACCAATGCACTTTCTGCTGTTCCACTGCAAATCCTTTTCAATAATAAAAAAATGGAACTGATTAGCAGACCTAGGTGGGCTGTACTTTGGGTGGGGTGGTTAGAACATATGATGACTAAGCTCAGGCACAGTTGCAGACACACTGTGCTAAGATACTCACAGGTGACGTTCAGGGGTAGTTTCTGCAGTATTTTCAGAGCTGTTGCATTCACCAGTTTTCTGGGTAAATAAAGAGGGAAACAACTCTTTTGCCATGTACCAGTGGGCAGGAGTTGGGGGAAGCCTGGCTCTGTTTTATGTAGGCATCTAGGGTGTTATTGCAAACATTAATAGAAGAGCAAATTAATGCCTTGGGTTTCCAAGCATCCACACCCACAGGTAACCTGGGGCTTCCTGGTAAATTATAGGTGCAGCGTGTAGAGCACTTGCTGTGGTAGTGCAGCTCTCACGGTGTTTCTCCTAATAAATAGGACAGACATCATGGCCTGCTGCTATCACCTCTGGATTGCTCAGTCTTTATGTTTTTACCAGTTCTGGCTAGCAAAGCAGAAGCCTTATGGGCCAAATGCTCCCCAATGGGGACCCCCATCCATGCAGCCCCTGTCCACCTCTGCACGTCTCGTTTCCCCTTCTCGGTAAGTGAGTGACATTTCAAGCTCCACGTCCTCCCTAGGACGCTGCAGAGGCACAAGCCTTTGCTTCCCACATGGTATAAGCTGCTCTAAAAGCTCTAGCAGCTGTTGAACGTGCGGCCCCTGCACGGAGATGTTCGACACTGCTTAGCCCGGAGGAGCTTTGGCAGCTCTGGGCATCGTGACGTACATCAGCAGTGGAAGGGCCTCCCTCCAGATGCCCCAGAAAGAAGGGGGCAGTGTGCTCAGTGTGAGCACCAAAGATCAAATTACCCATCTCATTTTGACCATAAATCTTCCAGCAGTGCCATCCACCAGGAACCTGCTGGGGACAAACTGAAGTAATGTCACTTGGTTGTGTGTCTCAGGCGTGAAGCCCAGTTTGGCCTCACTGACCGTGCTCTGTCTTTTCCCTCCTGCAAAGAACACTTTAGCTGTCAGGAAGGTTTATATTCCTTGAATGTGGATTATATATATATATATATATATATATATAGTTACCCATGTCAGTGCCATTATAAAAGCTCCCATAGGCCTGGGCACATTTAAGGTTCTGCCTGGGTTTCTCACTTTGCAATATACACAGTCTGGTAATTCATCATCTCATAAAGTTGCAGTTTTATGCTACACATACCAGTGAAACAATCAGTTGTGCATACTTGAAAGAAGAAGCTAAAATCCTTGCCCAAAGTATCTTGCTGCCTGAACCAAATATATTGGCATTAACATTAAGAGAAGTGGTCACATAGGACTGTATGTAATTCCTCAATAGCAGGCCTATAGTGAGACGCTGCAGGTCACTTCTGTGGCTCCTGAGGCTAAGGAGAAGGCATTAGCTTGGGTTTTCCACACTTCCCATTACATGGATAACAAAGGAGTTCACTGAAAGGGAGACCTCTGCATCCATTTAAGCAAAATCACCAGGAGAAAATATCATTTTGTGTCTTGGTTGCAGCCCAGTACAGCTGCGTTCCTACACTTTCTTGTGCCAGTCCACTGGAAAAGGTTTATTTGCTGGGTTTTCACTTTTCCTGGGCTCTCAATGCTGTTGTGAGCCAGAACCTCTGATTTGTTCACCCAATCCTGAAACCTGTAACTAACTGCTCCACAAACCGCTCAGCAGACAGCAGGGCTGACGCAAGTCAGCAAATGTCATCCTCTATTTAAGGCACAAAGATTTTCATGGCTCCAGTGCTCCTTATGCAGCATTTTATTTTTAAAGATTATGTTGTCAAACAGTTACAAGATGCAAGCAATTTCTATAAAGCGTAGGTAAGAGAAAAACTTTTGTCCTCTGCGTTTGGCAGCAGATAGCAAGCTCTGTATTTGTGTAGGTCTTCGGGAAGGGTATCCATCTGAGAGCGGGGATCGGGGTGCATTTTGGACATGTTTTTTGCACGTGTTAATCTGCCTTCAGCAGTTGAGCAGCCATGATGGCTGAGAGCAGCACGGGCCTGCCCAGAAACCCGCCACGTGCCTGGTCTCGCGCTGCTGCTCGCAGGGAGATGCACAGAGGTAGCTTTCTTGTCACAGTATCTGCTTTGCTCGTCATTCCTTCAAGTCAAACAGGCATTTGGCAGCACATGGCCCAAGGCCAGACAAGAACAAACACACAATATTGGAGGAACAAGCACACAATTTTTCAGTGATCCACTCCCTAGGGTTCCATTTATACTAACGCTAAAGGAAACAGGACCAAGGAGCGGACCTGAGCACCCGTCTCTGATCATCGCTACTTTGTCACTATAACACTGACCCAGGGTTTTGTGGGATTTGGGCTGCATGTTTAGGCCTCCCTACTTTGTCACTATAACACTGACCCTGGGATTTGGGCTGCATGTTTAGGCCTCAGGTCCTCCTACCAGGCAAGAAGGCATTTCCACAGCTTCATAATAACAAAAGAATAAACCCAAACCAAACCAAAACCACCCACTCTGATGGGCAATGACACAGCCCTCTCATAACGCCAGACTCCTTGAAATGCAAAAACATGTTAAAAATTGGGATTATCTTTTAGGGCAGGCAGCAGTTGGGTGCCCCAAAGCGAGGGCACAGGGACACGTGCCCCGTCTGCTCGTTGGCACACGGGGCTGAGGCGCTGCCGAAGCAGGGCCCGGGGC